AAATTAATATTAGATAAGAAAAGTGTTCGATTATTTCTTATTAAGACAATAATACCATGCACAGATTCCGACGATCTTTTGGTATTCGTCTCAAACATAACGACCTTGACTGGTAATGGTAGCACTCAAAATTACAAGATCTGACAAATCTACTAATTTTTTGATCTCTTTAAACCAGAAGATGACTAAAAATGCATGAAAATAATATTCGAGATTAAAATTCAAAAATTCAAAATTTGGAATATTGCAGGAAGGAAATGAATATTATTTTTGCAAGAGAGAATTGAATTGATTTGATTTTGGAATAAAGGATATCCAACATGTGGGGTTCAATTTATAAAAGTTGAAATGTTGTGTAAAAAATACACAACTGTTGTAAAATTGTGTCGGAATAGCTATAACCTGTCTAGATAGACAGCAACTGTTTAGACATATAATTTTAATAGAAAAATTGTCACCACTAAAAGATGTCACTTGTTTGTGTACATTCGAGAAGAAAATATAATTAAATATATTCTTAAATTTAACAACTCAAATATCATTTTACTAAAAAATGTAACTTGAGCACACTCCAAGTCTAAGTCCATAACCTGTGACCCATGTTCGTGCTCGTGTCGAGCTAGTTGATTGATCAGACGGATGACAACGACGAGCGCGGGGTTTGGCCCAACCTGTTAGCAGGCCATCGCCATTCAAAAACTATTGATACTCCTTTAGACTCAAATCCAACTATCAAACTTGCGCTATATAAAGTAGTTTTTATTCTTCTAGTTTCCTATTTGTGATTGACACTTTTTAAATTTTTCATTAATTTTTATTCCCAATTTATTTCAACTTTGAGTGGCATCTTTTGACATTAATTTCTCATTCATTTGAGATTGATTTTGAGAAAATAAGTATACTACGTCAATCTATTCGCGAAGTAAAAACTTGGTCAAAGAAATCTTTTGTCCGATTACCGAGACTCACTCAAATAATTGGTCAAAGTTGGTCTTAACAACCTATAAAACCAAATTCTCTAACAATTCCTTGCATGAATGAAAATTAATGTAACAGACTATGCAGGTCTTAATAGAGGGATCAAGTGGAAAGTTATTGTATTTGGATAGATACCTAATTGGTTTGAACCTTCCGTAACAGAATACTATCGAATTTACTTAGCCAATCAATAAATATGATGTCTTGAACGGTCAATTGTTGTTATAAACCAATACAATAGTACCTACATAATAACCCTCCTAACATATTTAAGTTCTTACTGTTGTGTCCATTTTAGCTTTAAACAACTCATGGATTTCATAAAAAGGGTCACACTTCACACTTATTAAGAGTACCTGCCATAGCTTACTTGATTTGTCCAAAATATAGGAATCATTAAATGTATAACTTAACCTTAAACTTTATGCAGATAACACCATAACTATTCTTAGCTACAAACTTTAGTAGCGGTAGATAGTTCTCTTAATTTTTACAAAGATCGAACACACATGTTTATAACGTATCTTCACGTATCTATGTAGTCTATTTAGGGATGGTAACGAGGCGAGGGGCTTCCCCGCCCCCACCCCACTAAGAAATACCCCACCCTGTTACCCGTTTAAGATGGGGCGGGGTCGAGGGCAGGGTCCTTGCCCCGTTTACTACGCCTTAAAATTTTTTTTTTTTTTTGATA